GCGGCGGCGGCCGCCCGCTCCCAGCCACGTCCTTCCCCAGGAGCATCTCGCGCTCTGTCTCTGCGCGTGGCCTTGCTGCTGATGCCTCCACCCCGTCAGCTTCCCCGGCACCCCAGAGCGGAAAGCGTAAACCAGTGTGCTGACCCCGAGACGAGTGCTGTGTTCTTTTACATCCCTCCCCCTTTGGGCACTTGTCTTTGCTCCAGTGTGGGAAGGAAAAGCCCAGTTGGTGACTGGCCTCATCTCTCATCTGGTGGTACCCACGTGTGGCAAAACATGTTGCTCTTACGCTGCGTAAAGTCTCACCAGACAGAGACATCTCTGAGGATGAGACTGGCTGCAGATTGCATCAATTCCCTGGGTAGTGTGAGAACATCTCTCTTGGAAAGTTACTAGCTCTTGTAACTGAGGAAGGTGGAAAAGTAGATCTCATTGCACAAGGTGTAGAACCGAGTTAGTGCAGGGCTGAGCTCAGACATACGCATTTTGCTCCTTAATTCCCAAAACCCTGTTTAGCAGCTCATTTTCACCATGCAGCGTAATTTCTGAGTCCTGCAGAACGCAGAGTGACTGTCCTGTGGTACAAAGATCAGTTTAAGTCTAACGCTGGCTTACTGGCTGGACGTAAACTCGTGCTGAGAACTACAAGGCTTCAGTGTGAAGTTAGCTCAGAGTGCACGCATGCCCCTACTATCAACTAGTGCGGTCTGGTCGGTGAATGTTAGTTTTGCACCTTATGTACAGAAAAAAAAGACACAGCTGCATTTTCTGGTTCTCCCGTCCGAAGTGTGACCAACACTGTAAAGCCCTTTGCTTTCTTATTGTGTAAAAGACAGAGTTGTGATAGCAAAATGATCCGTTAGCAATTATTTCTCAGCTTTTTCTACAGATAAAAACTACAGCAGTTCCTTAAAATATCTTCACACGTGGCTGCAGTTCAGGGGAGGCGGCTGCTGTGCTGCATGGCCTGAGGACATAGCTGGGTCTGGCCGTAGTTTTTACGCAGCGAGGCCGGCGCTGGCCCTGGGACAGACATCTGAGTCCGAGCAGATCACGGGAACGATGCTGCTCATGGCTAATTGCTATTTATTTTAATCATTCCTTATCTCCACACAGGCATTATTTCAGCAATGCATTCCACATCAACCCAAAGTTCTACATCTGCTTGACTGTACTTAAAAGGAGCGAAGAAATGCCTGTGAGCCTATCATCTCCCCAGCAAATACCAGTTCGGGATCGCTCGTTGCGCTGGGCACAGGTGCACGTCTAGATACAATTTCTGGCATCTATTTAAACTTCACAATGTGCACAGCCAGCTCAGCGCAACGTCAGTAATACAGCATGGCCCTTCTACGCGAGCGTGTGCGCAGAATGCTGACTTCGGTTTGCTGCTGCAGGCTGTAGTTTCTGTATTTTCTGTTTGCAATAGCAAATATATAATAATTATGCTGCCTTGTTTTTTAAAAAAAAACCTAAAAGCACCGCTATAACCCTCCCTCGAAGAAGCGATGTTAAAAGATGAACTCTGGATGCGGGGTCTCCAGTGGGAAACGGCCGCTTCCCGCCGGGGGATGTGCCTGCACGCTCACTTACGCAGCGCCTCAGCCCCCAAACGCCAGTAAAACACGATTTAAACAAATCCATTCAGTTTTGCGGCAGCGTGCCTAAAAATGTAAAACTTTTTCTGCCGATGACCGGGCTCAAAAGCTGGAGGAAGCCCAGCTGTGCGAGGACCTACTCTGCATGCTGACGTGTTTAGGTCATTTACCAAGAACGCTGTCCCTGTCTGGCTGCCACCATTCGGGACGTGTCGGCCATCTATGGCGACGCTTCCCCTGAAGTCACCCCAAGACAGGCTGTGAAAAGGCAGTGGCTTCAAGCCCACTGTGTTCAGACCCATGGCTCCAATAACATCTGCTTTGTAGATCAGTCTTTTAGTTCAGTTTTGGCATTTAATGATCTATGGGGAGAGGTGTTCCAGAACTGTTTCTTCTCTTTTTTGTTCTCCTCAAACCCCCTGTCCAGTGCAGTCACCACCCAGCGGCTCCAGTCGCTGAGTTAGGCGCAGCCTCGCTCAGGCTGAATGATTTTTTTTCCCCAGAAACCTCAACATAAACGCACACACAAGTGAATGTCTTTTCTACCACTGCAAACCACTGTTACTCGAACAGATAAATGGATTTTTACAACCAAAATTCTGAGAACCAAAATGATAAATGCGTTCCAGTGGGTGCTGAAACACATACGCACTCCAGCTTTGGGAGTTTTTAATTAATAAAGATGTTTTTGCACTTTAATACCTGTGCAGTCTGATGGGGAACAATGTTAGCGATTGTTTGAAGGGAATTGTGTCAGTTACTCTTTTTAATTTCTACACCCTTCTCCTTTAAGCTTTCTGTGCTGTTGGTTTGTTGTTGTATGCAGAAGAGTGACCCGCTGATGCGTTGTATCACAGAAGCAATAGTTTATATAACACGATTTTAACCTCTGTAGGTGGAAATTAAATAATTATTGATCTGACAAGTCTGTAAATGAACGGTACACATCTAAACCAGGCTGTTCTGTGTGGGCTTAGAACAAAATAAAACTTTTACAGAAAATAACAGTAAAGGTGGTGATGCACAATGCGTTGCAGCAGTAACGGACACCATGGGGATTGTTAAATACCATGAAAGCTGGTATTTAATCATTTTTTAGGGCAATAGAGCGTTACATACTGCGAGCCTGCCGCGGCACTCCTCGCACATGCCTTCACTATTTCAGCCGTTCCTGTTTCTTTGACCTCCTGCTGTACGAGGCGTTGGCCTCTCCGAAACAGCTGGCTCTGCAAAGAACCATTTCCAGTTCCCCGCAAGGTGGATCGGGTGACTCTCACTTTATCACCCCTGGAGGCCACCTCAAGGACAAAGAAAAGAGATACACGCAAAACTAATGTTGTTGTAGGGGTGGGGAGGGTCGCACCGCGCTCTCGTGATGAACGCCGGAGAACAGGCCCATGAGAGCCTGCAGGCGTTCTGCTC